GACCACCTGACCACAGGTGAAGCTGACTACAGGTGAGACCACCTGACCACAGGTGAAGCTGACTACAGGTGACACCACCTGACCACAGGTGAAGCTGACTACAGGTGAGACCACCTGACTACAGGAGAAAATGAACACAGGTAAAACTCGACATAGATTTGACTACAGGTGAGACAGACTTTAGATGAATGCAAACGAACATGTGAGAAATGAACACAGGTGAGGCTGACAACATCTACAGGTGAGACCACAAGACCACAGGTGAAGCTGACTACCAGTGATCACAGGTGAGACTGAACAGGTGAGACTGACTTTAGATTAATGCGAATGAACACAGGTGAGGCTGACTGCAGGTGATGCTGACTTCAGATGAGTTTGACTTCAGGAGCGAATGAACACAGGTGAGACTAGACTTGTTCCGACCTGATTTAATGATGTTGACTGGTTTGTCTGCAGCTCCCGTCATCGTCACTCCTCCAGGTGAGGTGTTCAATGTCAGCGGCTCCCAGGTGTACCTGAACTGTGAGGCAATGGGCGTGCCCACACCTGTCCTCACCTGGAAGAAGGTGAGTTTGTCAGGGCAGTGTTAGGTTTACCACTACTTCCTGTTTCCTACTCAGCCTGGAAAATCCACCAATCAGAGGACAGAACCTTCATGTTCACCAACCAATCAAATAAACTGAACATCTGGAAGATGATCCAGAGATGGTGAGAAAATGATTATCATCATAATGGTGAAGGATGAAGATAAAGATGATGGTTATGATGATGAAGAAAATGTTTAATATGAGAATGATAATTAAAAAAGAACATTCAGAGGCTATAATGATGATTATCATGATAAGATGGTAATATCAAGATGATAAAGGTGTAATGATGATGACTGATGATGATGGTTATGATGATGATCAACATGAAGATGATGGTTATTCTGAAAATGAAAGTGATGGTTATGACGACGATGGTGTTATCTTGATGAAGATGATGGTTTTGATGAGTTCAGTTCATGATAGGTATGATGATTATGATGGTTGTGTACATGATAAAGATGATGATAGTTATCACAATGAATATGATGATTATCACAACGAAGATACTGATAGTTATGAAGATGATAATGTTATGATAGTGCTGATAATGGTTATCATGATGAATATGGTCATTATGAAGAAGGTGAAGATAGTTATGATGAAGATGATTGTCTGGATGTCTTCAGGTTCTTGGTGGGACGAGGAGAACGAAGCTGCTTCCAGGAGACCAGGACAATCTGGCGGTCCAGACCAGAGGAGGACCAGAGAAACATGAAGTGACCGGCTGGGTGCTGGTCAGTGCTCAATTTTTACATTTTCCTCATTGTCTGACAGCTGTCATCAATGATATTGATTGACAGCTGGGATAGATAAGTCCAAACTAACAGGCAGCTAAAGGTTGTGCTTGTCAGAACAAACTTCCAGAGTTGGGGTTTGGGCATGACACAGGAAGTGATGTCATCACAGCTCCCTGTTGGAGTAATCAGAACTGATTGGCTCATTCCAGATTTCCCCGTTGACCAAAGAAGAAGAAGGATCCTATGAGTGTCACGCCACCAACTCCATCGGTGAAGCTTCGGCTGTCGGAGCCATCCACCTGGTGGAGTCGGCCGATGACGTCATCGTAAAGACAGGTAATGATGTCATCAACAAACAAATACACGGTTCAGAACATCACCTTCAATATTCTCCTTCAGTTGTGGCTCACGGACGGCCAACGAAAACAACTCCAAAGAGTTCAAGACACAGGAAACAAATGTTCTCATAAATGCTGTTTTATTGTCAGCATGAAGTTTTCAGCACAATCTTTGACTCAACTGACAGATATCTGGAAGAGAAAACAACATGACCTTGCATGAGTATATTATGACCGTATAAGACTGAGTTTTGACCTCGTGGAGTTCATACAACAGGGCTCAAAGGATGTTTAACAAATTTAAATAGGAACCAGTGCTTTAAACAGCTTCAGAGCTGAGAAAAGTCCTCAGAGATGAAAATGACTTTAAAACATCCACCATGTTGGACTGAATTTAACTGATAAAAACATAACGTGCACACGTATCTGTGAAGGTTTAAATTTTCTTTTCTTTTTTTTTTTTTTTCAGTGACGGAGGTGGAGCCGTGATCAGCTGATCTGAACATCCTTGAAGTCAGATCTCTGAAAGCTTTAAAAAAATATAAACTTTTCTCTCACTTTTTTAATTCAAAGTTTTGCAATTCAACCCATTTATCTTTATTTTTTTTATAGAAAAAAAAACAAAAACACAATGCATATGTTAGACAATTTAAATCACCATAGCAACAAGTGACAGGATTTTCTGTTTTAAAGGGACATTACGTGTGTTTGTGTGAAGTATTTTGAACATTTTATTGGAAATTTTCTGTACGACGTTTATTTGTAGATTTTAAAAGAACGGTTTAAAGATTAAATAAATAAATAAATAAAAACCCAGAATGAATCTGATATTTGTGTTCATGAGTGGATGGACACCTCTGGCTCCAACTGATCATAAAATTAACAAGATTATTGAAATTAAAAATAAATCTGATTATAAATATGTATTTTTTACATGTATTTTACTCTCCAAGTTCTCTTGCACCTGTTCCCTGCTCTCACCACAAATCACAATGTCATCTGCAAACATCATAGTCCACGGAGATTCCTGCCTGACCTCATCAGTTAGTCGGTCCATCACAAGAGCAAACAAGAAGGGGCTCAGAGCTGCTCCTTGATGCACTCCCGCCTCCACCTTGAAGCTGCCTTCCCCTTTTTCATTTTTTTGAGAGCTTCTATTATTTCTCCTTCATTCATTGCAGTGTTGGCATAGTTACATTGAAAAAGTAACTTTAATCAGATTACTGATTGCTCCTTGAAAAAGCAACTTGGTTACTTTACTGATTACTTGATTTGGAAAGTAACTAAGTTAGATTACAAGTTACTTTCAGCAGCTGCTGACAACAACCCTCCACCACCTCAACATAAAAATTACATTGAGCTTTGCCAATACTTTAATGAAAGTGCATTTGAATGGTAACATCAACAATGTATCTCCTGACATATAAAGTTGAAGTTAAAGACTATTTCAGGAAAAAACAACAACAATTAAAAAAGGTCTTTCTTGACTTCTTTAAACATAAATACTTTTTATTAAAAAAAATAGTATTTCTTGACTTCAGTATCATAAACAAATACTTGCTTTATATAAAAAATTGTGTCTTTCTTGACTTAACTAAACAAATACTTTTTTTGGCATAAAATAAGTCTTCACTTTGTTAAACATAAACACTTTTTTTAAATTAAAAAATATAATAAAGACAGTCTTCAAAGTCAAAATCAAAGTTTATTTGTCGCCCCACCACAGAATTGTGTACACAGGGTCCCAGTTACATCCAACAAAAGTATAAATTGTAAAATAAAAACAGTAAGAGCTGAGATATGAACTCAGAAATGTGCTAAACTAAAAATACACTAAGCACTAGTAGTACAAAAACAATACGCTGAACAACAGCAGCACGAACATGAGTCTGTGTGAGCAGATGAGGACGAATGAACACAGCAACATGAAATAGATCAGCAGCATGAGATCAGCAATGTGGATAGTCAGCAGCACATATCAACAATCAAGTCACATTACAGGGATTTTTTTCACAATAATTTTCAGTGATAATCCTGATTAGGGATTCATGAGTCTAACAGCTTCAGGGTAGAAGCTGTTCCTCAGTCTAGTGGTTCTACACTTAATGCTCCTTGATGACCAGACATGTTTAAATATGAACACGGTAATGACAGAACTGAACATGGAACCGGTTCACAGCATTGGAGCAGCAAGGAGTGGATTTAACCAAACAGTTTACAGTGGTGTATAATTCTACATATAGGCTGACGTGTCTACTTTTGTTACTTTGGCGCTGTAATCCCATTTCATGAGTGAAACAGTGGAGTGGAGCGAGTAAACCAGTGATTGTACCTCATTAACAGAAGCTTTTCAAACCTCCTGTCAGAAAGTCTATTCCTTCTAGGTATGAGCACCAAACTTTCCAGACTAAAAAGCTGCTCCACAGGAGCACTGGATGGGGTTGGAGTGTTCTACTTCAAAAAAAATTTCTTTATGCTTGAAAATTGATGCAGAATTTGAAGGTCAAAGACTGACCTCAGGTAGTCCATAACTTCCTGTTCTGCAGAGTAGGTCTCCTCTGGCTGTGCCTCAAAAGTGAAAAAGTCCATCTCACTTTGGCTAGAAGTTGTGGTGGGGCTCTGCTATCAGAAGCTCTTTTACTTGCTCATTCCTACCCACGTCTCTTAGCCATCGGAGTTTGAATTTAGGACAACTGACAGCTGCGAGCAGCGCATCTTTGTCGTCCAGCACACCGGCAAAACGAGTCTGGATAGCCTGAAAAATATAATTGATATGTTTTGATATGTCTACAAGGCCCACTCTTTATTATGTAATTGAATTACTTGCAAACCATGCCTAATGTGGGATCACTATTATGGATTTAATGTTGTTTTAGGATTCTTATTGTATTTGTTTTAATCTTTTTTTGTGATGATAATGAATATAATGTAATAGTGTGATGTAAGACATTTTAATTAGCTTACAGATATAACATACCTGCACTATAGCATCTGGAAGGTCTGCAGTCATCCTGGAGAGTGAATCTTTCACAGCCAGGGTCTTCTGCATCAGAACTTCAAGTGTGAGCAGTAAAGTCCCATAAGGACAGTCACCTTGTAAAATGTCCAGGGGCTTCATGACGGTGGAGTACTCATGCAGGAACTGGTACTCTCGGTATATGAAGCACTTAACTCCAGCTACAAAATGTGTATGTTTCTTCTTCCATTGTTTGCGTTTCTGTCGTGGCATGGCGCCAGGTATCACAGGTTATGATAACGTGACTGAATTGTCGCATAGACCGGACGTCGCTCCCCGACCCCGATGCATAGAGGAAATTAAATTACTAGAGAAAATGAAAAATATAGTAACGCACAGTAATTTGGATAAGTAACTTTAATCTGATTATTGAATTTTAAATAGCAACACGTTAGCATACTCGTTACTAAAAAAAGTGGTCCAATTAGTAAAGTAACTCATTACTGACATCACTGTTCATTAGCTCCTCAAAGTACTCCTTCCTTCTTCCCATCACAGACCACGATCTCCTCACTTGTTAGAACATTACCATTCCTATCTTTCTAGCCTAACCTGCTGCACATCCTTTCCAGCCTGATCCCTCTGTCTTGCCAATCGGTGCAAGTCCTTCTCACACTCTTTAATGTCCAGCCTCCCAAACAACTCATCATACACCTTTTTACTTTGCCTTAGCTACCTCCCTCTTTGTTCTACGTCCTATCTCCTTATATTCCAGTCTCCTCTCTTCAGTCCTCTCACTGTCATATTTCTTCTCTGCTAACCTATTTCTTTGAATAGCTTCCTGCACATCACTATACAACCACCAGATTTCCTTATCATCCATTCTCTGTCCAGATGACACACCAAGTATCTTCCTACCCGTTTCTCTCTTTAAAGTTACTGTAGTAGTCCAGTCATTTGGAAGCTTTTTCTTTCCACGGAGAGCCTTTAACAGCTCCTCTCTGAATTCCTCACAACATTCTTCCTTCTTCAGCTTCCACTATTTGGTCTTCTTCTCTGATGTTACTCTTTTTCTCTTCTTCACAACAGACATGCTGCACACAACCATCCGATGCTGTCTGGCCACGCTCTCCCCTGTCACAACCTTACAGTCCCCAATCTCCCTCAGGTTTCCTCTTCTACAATGTAGTTGATCTGCGTACTCCTCCCTCCACTCTTAGGTCACGTTATGTTCCTCCCTTTTTTGAAAATAGGTGTTGACTGCAGCCATTTCCGTTCTCTTGGCAAAATCCACCACCATCCGTCTTTCTTGGTTTCTTTCCTTGACACCAATTCTACCCATCACTTCCTCATCCCCTCTGTTTCCTTCACCAACATGTCCATTCAGATCTTCTACCTCTACCTTCAGACACATCACCCTATCTGACACTTTTTTCACCTCTACTTCAAATGTGAGGTTTTACTCACATTCTTTGCCAACTCCTCCTTCAGGACCACCCCTACTCCATTTCTCTTTCTATCCACACCATGGTAAAACAGTTTGAACCCTGCTTCAGTGCTGCAAGCATTGCTGCTCTTCCAATTCTCTTGAACACGTGAAACATCTACCTTCCTTCTCTGCATCATGTCAGCCAGCTCAACCTTTGCCTGTCATTGTCTCCACATTTAGAGTTGCAACCCTCAGTCCTACATTCTCAACTTTCCTCTTCTCCCTCTGTCTCCTGCCACATTTCCCTCCTCGTGGTCTTCGACCAACAGTAGCACACTTTCTGCTGGCACCGTTTGTCAACAGCACTGGTGGCGGTCGCTGTTAACGCAGGTCTCAACTGATCTGGTATGATTTCACTTAGATGAACACCCATTATAGTTTTGGCAAGTGTTTTACGTCGGATGCCCTTCCTGACACAACCCACTGACCCGGGCTTGGGACCAATACAAGAGATGCACTGGCTTGTGGTCCCTAGTGGATGGTTTCCCCATCACAAACCCTCTAAACCTTCTAATACAATGATTCAGTCAATATTAACAAAAACTGCTGTTTATTAAATGTTGATACGAAATAGATCAGATTAAAATACAAAAATTAAAAAAAGTAAGAATCAAACCAGATTTGATTGACAAAGAAGTTTCAAACTGATGAATCTAATCAGAAGAAAAACAAAACTACTGATTTACCTTTTCATTCGTTTTAATTTTTGGTTCCGAGTGACAAGAAACACCCAACAAGGTATTAAAATCCAGAAAGGAGCCAATCTTTGACCCAAACCTGAAAGTTTTTTTTTTATTTTTTATTTTATTTTACTGACATTAAGGTCATTACAGACCCCTGCAACAAAAAAAACAAAAAAGCTGGTAAAAAAAAAACAGTCAGTAGTATCTGATGTGACCACCATTTACAGAGCAACACATCCACATAGTTGATCAGGTTGTTGACTGTGGCCTGTGGAAAGTTGGCCCACTCCTCTTCAATGGCTGTGAAGTTGCTGGATATTGTCAGGAACTGTCTGAAACTTGCCATCGTATACGCTGATCCAGAGCATTCCAAGTGTGCTCAATGGGTGGCATGTCCGGTGAGTATGGTGGCCATGCAAGAGCTGGATTGTTTTCAGCTTCCAGGAATTGTGTACAGATCCTTACAGCTGGGGTTGTGCATTATGATGCTGCAACATGAGGTGATGGTCATGGATGAATGGCACAATGGGCCGAGCATTTTATCCTGGTATCTCTGTTCATTCAAAATGCCATCAATAAAATGCACCTGTGTTCGTTGTCCATACCATAACACCAAATCGCTCACCCACACTGAGAACACCTCTCCAACATGGCACACACCATCCAATGTGAGGATTTCCCCCCCCTCATGTCCGTTACGATAATGAGCTGCAGTCAGGTGGAGACCCAGATGAGGACGAGCATGCACATGAGCTTCCCTGAGACGGTTTCTGCAGAAATTCTTTGGTTATGCAAACCGATTGTTGCAGCAGGTGTCCGGGTGGTCTCAGAAGATCTTGGGAGGTGAAGATGCTGGATGTGAAGGTTCTGGGCTACACGTGGTCTGTGGTTGTGAGGCAGGTTGGTTGTGCTACCAAATTCTCTGTAACGCCTTGTTAAAGAAATTAACATTCAGTTTATTGGTAATAAGTCTGGTGAACATTCCTGCAGTCAGCATGTCAATTGTACCCTCTTTCAAAACTTGCAACATTTGTGTCATTGTGCTGAGTGATGAAACTGCATTGTGGCCTTTTATTGTGGTCAGCCTAAGGCACACCTGTGCAACAATCATTCTGTCTAATCAGCATCTTGATATGCCACACCTGTGAGGTGGATGGATCATCTAATCAAAGAAGTGCTCACTAACAGATTTGTACACATTTGTGAACAATATTTGAAAAAATAAAGGCGTTTTGTGTACATAAAAACGTCTTAGAGTTCAGCTCATGAAAAATGGGAGCAAAAACAAAGTTCAGTATAGTTTAAAAGAATTCTGTTGAACCAAAAATTAAAAGCTTTTTACGTTCATCAGTTGATCTTCAGTAAATTTTATGTTCCTTTTTTATTATTTTTTTGTTTATGTTTTTTCCTGTGAATCTGGGGTTTTCTTTCCGAGAAGTATAAAAACAAACCTGCTTCTGTAAATCTAGTTCTGGTGTTTTTGTAGCAGCGTAATGGCGCCACATACTAGCAAAGCATAGTAACTACAGCATTCTGGGCCGTTGTCTGCGTTTCTAAAAATATTTCATGCAACAGGACAATGTTTGAGAATTTGTTCAGAAACACCAACAAAATGTTCTCATATGGATAAATACCGAGATGGAGATCTTGGGTTCTTTGATCTATTCACCAAATGATGCATGGTCTGACCTTCGGGGTGAATTTGCTCCACATAGTTTGGAAATTCTTTAGTTTTGTGACAAATGTTGAAACCAAGCAGGACAAACAAATCAGACCATGCGACTCAGAAAAAAATATTTACTGTTCAAAAACAAAACGTGAAAATAAAAAAAGTCTTCGTTCATCATGATGTCACATCCTGGTCTGCAGGGAGTGTCCGAGCCGCTCTATGTGGTCATCATACGAGGAGCAATGCTCATCGACATCAACTCCTGGAAAAGAAGTTTGCAGGCATACGGCATCCGAACCAGAGAGATCTGCCAAGAACAGAAGATCAATAATTAGTTATTGATCGAGCAGAGATTTGAGACAAAGATCAGTCAGACAGTCATCGATCCAACTTACCTGCGTCTTGTTGCGGCAGCCTCGACACTCGTACGTGTGTGTCCGTGTGTTCGCGATGGCCATCAGTCCACACAGGTTGCACACGTGGACCTGGTACGGGTCGGATGCCTCAAACAGACGCTCTCTGAGGAACTGAGCCGCTCCGTGAGCGATCTGACAGTCGCGCTCCATCTCTCCAAATCGCAGGCCACCGTCCCTGAGGGCGACAGGTGACATCAGCCTCGAGTCCAAAGCTGCTGCTGCTGCCTCACCTGAACATCAGACAGGTGAGTCACTCACCGAGATCGGCCTTCCATCGGCTGACGATTGAGGATCTGGACCGGGCCTCGGGCTCGCGAGTGGATCTTGTCATCCACCATGTGCTTCAGTCGCTGATAATAGGTCGGACCGATGAAGATCTGTGACGTCAGCTTCCTCCCAGTGAACCCGTTGTATAGAACCTGATCACAGATCAATGAACAGTGTCAGAACCTGATCTCAGATCAATGAACAGTGTCTGAACCTGATCTCAGATCAATGAACAGTAACTGAACCTGATCTCAGATCAATGAACAGTTTCAGAACCTGATCTCAGATCAATGAACAGTAACTGAACCTGAGCTCAGATCAATGAACAGTTTCAGAACCTGATCTCAGATCAATGAACAGTATCAGACCTGATCACAGATCAATAGGCAGCATCAGTTAAGTTATTGTTCAAAACTTGTTTTGGTGTCACATAACAGCCAAATCTTTTCTAGGAGATCTATATATATAAAATAATCAATAATCAATACAAGTAACCCCAGGCCATTATGAGCTCGTCAGAATGGGTTTAAAATCCTCAGCTCCGTTATGTGACGTGTCTGACGGAATGAGCCATGAATGCGTGAGCTGGCACTCTGCTCAGAAACAATCCCAGAATTCACCTGGGATTTGTAACATCACTATGACATCACTGGGTCATGTGCTGCTGTCAGAACTGCACATGCAAACAGTTCATCCAAAGTTCCCACAATGCAACGCGACCCATGTGAGCCAGGCGATTTAACAGGAAGTGTCGTATTTCTCTGACCTCATTTCCTCTCAGGTGATATCCGTAGTCAGACAGCAGGTTCGACACTTTCTGCACGTTGACGGCGTCGTTAAACGGCGTGGCGTCACCGATCTCACCTTTGTTGGCAGAAACCTGAAACAAACCGAATAGCCTGCAAGTCAGAACTCAGGGCTTCAAAACCACCACTATGCACTGATATTATTGACCAATATTAATTGATTACTGATTAGTCCCAGCAACAAATACCAACATGTTTTAATAAATGAACTGATCAATAAGTAATCAGGTGCAGGAACTCGGACCCACTGGAACCAATTAATCATACCAATTACTGGGACCCAATCAAAGTATTAATTACTCTGAACCAGAGTACTGATTACTTCGAATAAATTAAAGTATCAATTACTATCAACTGATAAATGTATTAAATATTATAAACCAATAATGAGTATTGATTACTTTTCCTTGCAGACACTCGATCAGATGGCCAACAGTCATTCTGGATGGGATGGCGTGAGGGTTGATGATGATGTCAGGTGTGATTCCCTCGCAGGTGAACGGCATGTCCTTCAAAAGAAAAAGAAACACATTACGGTAACATTATTGATCTTGAACTGATTTGACATCAGAAAACACCTGATCAATAAGACTGAACCTAATTTCAGAAAGACGACTTCATAAATAAAAAAGGTGCTTCTGCATCTTGGTTTAAACAGTTTAATCAGATTTTTTCACAGAAGATTGTTTTTTCTTGACGTCCTCTTTACCTCCTGTCTGTACTGAATCCCACAGGTTCCCTTTTGTCCGTGACGGCTGGCGAATTTGTCTCCGATCTGAGGAATCCGGACCGAACGAACCTGCATCATCAAAGGACCAAACAAAGCTCCTTCAGATTCATGAAATCTGATTTACAAACCAGGATTAATAACTTATCCAGCTATAATTATCCTAAAATCAGACTGTCCTGCTGGGTCACATTTCAGATTATGCCAATTTTTGTGAGTCTGAAAAGAGAGACCTGATCAGAACCGCCGCTGTAGAACATGTTTTCTGAGACTGGATCTGGTTTAATTGATCAGGATAACTTGGAAAAAGCCTGGTTATTATAATAATCTGACCCTTTTTTCTATTCAGGTGTCTCGGGGGTTTCAGTGCGCCCTCACCCTGATTTTGCAGAACTTGTAGCCCTCCTGATTCAGGGTCACCATGACCTGGTCCACAATGCCGGTTTCACTGGTCCTCAGGAAGGTGCTGCAGTCCCTCTTAGTGTATCGTCGGTTGCTGATGTCCAGATCCTCTTCGTTCTCCGGCAGCGTCACCGTTTTCCCGATAATCACATCCTCGCCGGACACACGAACGCCGGGCGCAATGAGCCCGTCATCGTCCAGCTTTTCGTAGATGGCGTGTCTCATACCTGAAGACAAATTTATTACCTGTTATTCTGAACGGACTTCTCACCGTGACAGGGTCCAGGAGTTACCGGGTCTAAAAGGACTGCTCACCCTGACAGGTTTCACGTGTTGGCTTCTCAAATATCTCCTCTTGGTCAAAGCCTTTCTTTGACTCCTGCTCTTTGTAGGATCGATAGAAAACAGACCTGTGGGAGGAAACGCAGCTCTAGGATGAAACATTAAACACTCGGGTCACGTCAGAAACGGCTCCAGGTGTGGGCGGGGCTCACCTGAAGAATCCCCGGTCCACTGCAGACCTGTTCATGATCACAGAATCCTCCTGGTTGTATCCCGTGTACGAGGCGATTGCAACTATTGAATTAATGCCTAAAGAAAAGACTAATTTAAACTAAAAGTCTTTAGGAAAAGGCTGTAAGCTACATTGTACGTGTGTATGGGTGAGTTACCTGCAGGCAGCTCCCTGAATCGCAGGTACTCCATAGATCGGGTGGTAACCAGTGGTTTCTGAGGGTAGTACAAGACGTGAGCCAGAGTGTCCATTCTCACGTGGAAGTTGGTGATGTAGACACCCATGGCCTGTTTGCCCATAGCCGACTGGTACGTGTTTCTGGGAGACTGAACAGACGCGGGACAGAATCAGAGCAGCATAAAAAACCGTCATCGAGTGATTTATGTTTTTATAAGCTTAACTTTCATCTGTTGGCGTTCTGCGTTACTTCCTGGTTGTAGTTTCTTCGTACCTGGTTATGGTCGGGGAACGGGATGATGGAGGCGCACACTCCCAGGATCATGGACGGGTGGATCTCACAGTGGGTGTACGTCGAGCAATAGGCCACACCTTTTTCCTGGAGATCATCAGGAGTCATGGCGAGCATAACCGTCTCCTCCTCCAGAGTGTCGATGTACTCCACCACGCCGCTCGCCACCAAGTCCTGCCAGCTGAACAAAAACATTCACCAAAATGCTTCACCATCACAGAGCCAACAACCAGACCGTCTACTTGTTGACTGCCCCACCTGTAGTTGTTGTATTCTCGCTCCTTCAGCTGGTCGATGTGTCGTCTCTTCAGAAGAAGTTTCTGTTTCTCCACAATCAGCAGCGGTCTGCAGATCCGTCCAGCGTCGGTGTAAATTCTGATCTCACGCTCTCGGATGTCTCTGATCATCGAAACCTGGAACCAGTATCCAGATGTTTATAAATAAGCCTCTCCAACTCGTCAGTATTATTGCAACTGCTGTGGAAGTGAAAGGATGAGCTCACCTCAGACACGATAATATCCATCTGCCTGCGGAGTTTTCTCAGCGTATTCATCAGCTGCTCAGGATCTTTGTGGATTCCAACCCAGCAGCCATTCACAAAGATCTTAGTGGCGCTAAAACATGAACGTCACTTTTAGACTCACACCTAGACATGAACTAAAGGTTTGATCAGTAATGTACTCAATAAACTGACTCAGCGATGGCAGCTGGAGAGATCTCCTCCAAGTTTTCCATACTCCACTCCTCTAAAAACTCCAGGATGGGTGAGGGCTGGGAGCCCACAGAGATGTAGGCCATCAGGGCCAAGTTCTTCACCAGACCTACAGCATGGCCCTGCAGCGGTGAAACGTATCTAATAAACAACCAGACCAACAGATGAGGCTCGACCCAAACCCTGGGGAGGGTTTTATACCTCTGGAGTCTCAGCGGGACACACCATCCCCCAAAGAGTGTTGTGTAGCTGTCGAGGTTTGGCCAATTTTCCGTCTCTGCCGATGGGAGAGTTTACTCTGCGAAGATGTGACAGTGTGGAGGCGAAGGTAAGACGGTTCAACACCTGCAGGAAGAGGCAAGAAGATCCAATCAGGTTTGTCAGAAATTTACTGAGAAGACATAGGAGGAAAGACCAAACGATAAGCATCTGTCCAAATTAGGGATGCACCAATACCTATGCTGTCTGTTGTACTTGTACACATAAAAAAAGTTCTGATACTACTTCAAAGCAGCGTGACGTTCAACTCTCAGGCAGTAAGATGAAAGTGGAAGAACAAAGTCAGTTGTGTGGTGGTGGTAGTAGTTTGTTTTGTGGTGGTGATGACGCAACATGAAGTTGTTTACTACACGCAAATAACAAGAAGAAGCAGAAGACGTATGGAAGTATTTTAAAGTAAACTATAGAGCAGTAAAATATCTGCAAATACACGTCTGAGCATGAGCTTCCCACAATCATTGCTCAATTCCTGGCAAGAGGATGAAAGCTTCGATCATCATCATCATCGAGGTGAAAATGGATATTATTGAAAAGTATGAGAGTGGTGTCTGAATTATTGACCTGGGAAAGCTGAGACGGCGAGTCAGTAACTGCAAACATCAATCTGCATCATATGTCAGAGAGGGGACATAATGGAGTGAATTCGGCCAAAACGGACTGTAGTAATTAAAGATCTCCCACATGAGCCTGGAAAGCTGCTTAAAGAGCTACTTAATGAGCTCTTTAAGCTTCTGACACTCCAAAGAAGGTCCTAAGCTAATGCTAAGCTAATGCTTCAAAATAGATTTTTTTTTGTTGAATGAACTCGTGCTGCTGGAAGCTGGACGTCTTAATAAGGTGAATGACAGAAACTCTGCCCATTGCTTATTGTAATATTGTTAACTTTTCAGCTTTAAGCAATATTACTGAGTAGGAATAGTTCCTCTGTTGTGCTGAAAAGGACCTGATAGATGGCTTTTTAATTTCTATTATTTTTCTAAATAAAAAAAATTGCTCCAAATAAGAATATTCATCACAACACATTAAATTTGTATTTAGATTTTACTAATTATAAGAAGTAAAAAGACAAGATATTAATAGTCATATCTGTACCTGGTATCAGCAAGTACTCAAACGTAAGTACTTGTATTTGGTATCTGTGCATACCTAGTTCAAAACATTCTCAGATTTACAGAACTAAACAGTCAGCATGGAGGTTTAAATCATTACAGAAACTGTCTCAGGTGAGGCAGGTGTTCTCACCTGAGACACTCCCGCTCGAGCCTGGTGAGCCTTCTTCACGTCGCCCCAGTTCCCGGTGGCCAGCGAGTACTTGAGTCCATCTGAGATGATGCGAGTTTTGATGGCGAGCTCCAGGTTGAAGTCTTTTCCTCTGTCGATGAACTTCTGAGCATAGATCCTGATTTCCTTCAGAAGGTTCTTGAACATTCTGAATAGAAGGAAACAGTCGTTTCTTAAAAACTGATCAAACTCTTTCCCCCAGACCGTTTCTTTCCGAGACACTTTTTACTTTAAACGTCAACAAAAATTACAGGACGTTGCTTCAAAAAGTAAAGGCTGTCCAAAAGCTGAGCAGCTGAAAGCTTTTCATGAATGAATGGAAGTGAAGGGTTTAAATCATGTATTTGTGTGCAAGTGTAGGTGCTAAAGTTGAGTAAGAGGCCCCACCCCCTGAACAGGAAGGCCAAGAGCGGCCCAGCAAGATCCAGCCTCTTGTTTCCGTAGTGATCTCTGTCATCAAGCTCCCGTCTGCCAAGCGCAGCAAGCAGCAACCTGTGGACCATGTACCTGAAACACAGGAGAACTTGTTCCTTTAGAAATGGGTCAGTGTTCCACACATACCTGTAAAGGTGAGGACTCACCCCAAGAAATACGCCTTCTTGGTTTCACAGAAGTCACTGACTCCGACATGCGGCAGCATTTCTTTCTGTAGAACTTCTTTGGCGTATTTGATCCTCCTCTCTTTCGTCACTCCAGGTTTTGCTCCTCTGGAACCGATGAAGTTCAGCGCCACGTTCTGCTCCTGGATCACAAACGCTTCATCCAGAGATGGCTTTACCTGGAAACGCAGTGACATCACAGTGGGTGGAGCTACAGCTCATCTGTCCACCATGAGAACCAAGAGTGGAACAATGCAACAGTGATAATCAGATTTACCATCTCCATCATCTCGGGGTCGTCAAAGTCATAAATGATGTGTTCCAGGATGTCTCTGTCCGACACGAAGCCCAGTGCTCGAAACACAATGATGATGGGAACTTCCTGTCTGATGTATGGCAGCGTGGACACGATCCTCTGACCGATCGCACTCTTCTTGACTCCCTGGGAAAAATGATTGATCAGTTATTAATCTGTAGATCTAAATCCCCTGAACTGATCAGTTTCCTCTCTATGGCAGAACTCACCTGGCCTCCTCTGGCCATCATGCTGACCCAGATGGTGCTGGTGGGACGAGATGAGTTCTCCAAACAGGACCGACACTCAGCCGTGTAGGCGTATTTGGAATCCTTCTTGGCGAAGACGTAAACAGTGTTTGTGGCCATCTTCTCCTGTGCGATCAGCACCTGAAAATCACCAACAGTTTGTGATTATTGCAAAGTTTTTTTCAAACGTTTAGTTTAGAAGGTCTGTGATGACACAGCATACCTTCTCAGAACCGTTGATGATAAAATAACCCCCAGGGTCCAGCGGACACTCGTTGAGCTCACACAGATCTCGATCTGTCAGGCCGCTCAGCAGACAGTAGGTAGAGCGAAGCATGATGGGAATTTTCCCAATGAAGGTTTTCTGGTGTTGTGTCTGCAGCTGCTCTTCACCTTCCTTTATGATAGTCTTTGTGATGTCAACATACAGGGGGGCGGAGTACCTGAGAGGAAACAAACAAGTGAGAGCGAAGAGGGAACAGGTAGATCAGGTGTCTTCATGAAGTGTCAACAGGTGGGACTTACGTGAGGTTTCGCAGTCGAGCTTCGTTGGGCATCATGGGAGAAGGGGCTCCGTCTCTCTCCCAGTGAGTGGGCTTGGACAGGTAGATCTGTTCAAACTTCAGCAGGTAACGAGGCTGAAAGACATTGATGTTACAGGAACTTTAATTGTGCTAAAGATCAGGACCGACCCACAACTGAAGAACTGACTCATCACTAATCAAACCTACAGATGAACCGCAGAGTGAAACTATAAAACAAATATCTGAATTCAAAATGGGTTTCCAGTTTGTCTTAAAGACAGCAGATGTATTATATTCTGCTATTTTTGGGTGAAACTGGGACCCTGTGTACATAATTTTATTCCACCTCATGTACCACACATGTTGGAAATTGCAATAAAGTTGACTTGAATGTGAGAAGTTATCCAAATTTAGGAAGTTTTTTTTTTTTTTTAACGAGACAAACTGGATTTAATAACTGTATAAACTGTCTACATCCTGCCACAGTTCTAGTCCCAGGGCCTGGTACCCGATCCACAACTCACCGGCTCCTCCACCTCCCCCGAGGTGTGCTGCGCTTCAGCTTGCAGGTCAATGGGTGGAGCATCTTCCACGATCCTCTGAACAGACATCTGGATGAACTCATCGAACGAATCCAGCTGCTGCCGCACCAGGCCCTTCTCGTCAAAATAAGAGCTGAAAAAAAAAAGAAAAACATCAAAATAGGAGCTGGAAGAAAAGACTTGGAAAACGAATTGTTAAATAAAAACTGTACATAATGTTTTTCTGTATGAACAGAATGGCAAAGTTAAACTTAAAACAATATGATAGTAGATTATATATATATATATATTAACGTGTACTTTAATGCAGAGAAAAGTTGTTTACTGAGACAATTTGTTTAACTTTCATTAGTTTAACTCTTGTTTATTTTGATTTAGTATGTTGGCTTCTGCATGTTTTTGTCTGTACTGATTTTATCATTTTGGCATTTCTTCTGATGCAGTTACTGTACGCAGTGTTTTATGGTATTCAACTCAAATCAGTTTTTATCTCCACATGTTTTATTTTGATTTGTATTTTGTATCCACGCTTGAGCAGGACTCCCTGAGCGAAAATGTTGAATCTGAGGCCTTCCTGGTTAAACATAGATAAAACATATTTACAATAAAATGTCTACAACAGCTACATGCATCTCTTAGTGACTCCACCTGCAGCAGAATCCCACTATTTTCCTAAGCATCAATTACGACCATCTGAGTTTGTTTACAGTTTACCTGATGACGATCCAGCAAGCCTCCTGCCACAGATCTGGAGTGATTTCATCATCATCTTCATCGTACTGATTATCTGAAAAACATTTGATAATCAAAAACTATATTAATCAAACTAATTTCGGTAACTGCTTCTTTGTTTATTCACTGCATCTCATTAGCCTGTTAGCGTCAGCCATTAGCTTTAGCTGCTGTTAGCGCGCAGATCAATGGGAGCTCGCGCTGTCAAAGAAACACATAACCAGCACGTGCCTGGTTAAAACTGTGTGTTTGATCAGGTGTGATCAGGTGTTTCTGCTCGGTTAAATCGAAGAAACGCAGCTAGCATTAGCTCCGTTTGGTCAGACGTTAAGTTTACGTATCAATTACGTTTCCAATATGTTATCAATAAATCTACTCGTATAGATTCTCAGCATCTCACCTTCGTCCTGGTCGTACATATTTTATATCCAGAAATAATTTAAAATGTTCTAGTATAACGAGCCAAAACACTGTATTATGGCCGCTAGAATGGACCGGAAGTTGAAAATCTCTTCCGGTGTGCACTTCTTCTTCTTTTGTTTAAAGTCTGTTCGTCATCGCCACCTTCTGAAACATGACCCATGGAGGGAAACGCCTCCCAAATTCACAAATGTGTTATTTGTGTGCAACTGTTTTGTAATTCACAGGCACATAAAACCATCTAAGTACGCGAAAAACAGCGTTACGAACTCAACAGCTGAAACAATAATTTTAATTGTATATACTTTTTAACTTCAACATCCCAAATGTGACACATTTGAAAAGGTTCTTGTGCGAACATATTGTGAAATACAAGTGTTTTATTTTGTACACATTTCACTTAGTCATATTTTAACCAAAGACAAATAAAATCTATATAATAATAAATACCAACCTTCAGCGTCTCCACTGCCTTTGGAAGTCCATTTCCGCCATGAAAGAAATAAATAAAAGCCCAACAGGAAGTCATAATTTCGAGTTTTAAAGTCATAATTACAAGAATAAAATGCATAATTATGAGTTTTAAAGTCATAAATATGAGGATTAATCATAATTTTGAATTAATTATGACTTTAAAACTCGAAATTATGACTTTTGTTCTCACAATTATGAATTTTATTCTCATAATTATGACTTTAAAACTCAAAATTATGACTTACTGTTGAGCTTTTATTTTTTTCTTTGCAGATATGGGCTTCCAAAACTGCCGCCCTTGGCTATAAAGTTTTGTCTTCTTCAAGTTCCAAAGTTTTGCTTCATACGCATTTTTTTCCTCAAGTCATTTGATTAGAACCTCAGTTAGTAGTAAAAAATGCAAATATGCATTTTATTAGAAAAAATAAAGCTCTCCTAAATAAGAGCAACAGATCTAAAGGCAATGCTGGTTAGGGTCTCAGGAGGTTAAATATGCACATTTCTTTTAACAAATATAGGAGAAAACAAGGTGCAACACCTGCCTTTCTGCAGCTGCTGGGTTGTGGTTGACTTCACAGTTGCCTGTGAGGACTCCAGATGAACAGTAAATACAAAAAAAATTACAGTTCCAGGACAACTTGTCAAATAAAGTTTATTAAAAATTTATCAGCGTGTGGAATCAGTTTTTCACATGACTCTAAAATCTATAACATCATTTAACGTCACAGTCATAAAAACCATGTTCCAACTTCCTGGATTCTTAAAATTTCAGCGTGAATTCCTCCACGTTTATCATAGTTAAAAAAACAACATTCTTTCAAAAGATCAGAGCAGGCACTTTAACAACAAAGAAATCATTATTAAAAATTAAAACTAGTTTTGGCTAATCAAAAGTAAAACAAAAATCAAAAATCAAATCAACAAAATGCACAAACACAAATTTATGCTGCACAAACTGATGAAAACACAAAATAGTGCTTGAAAATAATGTTAAAAAAAAAATCTTATTCTTTATCAAAACCAAAAAATAATTTAGCAGATTTAATATTAATATTGCAGTGGTTCAAAATAGTCATTTTAAGGTGCTGTACACAGTACCAGATTAAATGATAAATAGTCCATCCTATAATAATTCAGCTGTTAAGACTCAGTTTGTTAGGAATTAAAAAGTCCCAACAGAAAAATAATCTAATTTGATCAATGATATTGACCTCATTTGTGAAGCAGATTTAATCTGCTGCACTGATAGAAAAAAACACAAATATTTCATTTTTTGCACATCATTTTTAGTAGTTTTTTTAAATTAAAAAAAGGGATAAATTTAACAGCTCAGTACCTTTTTTAATTTATTTTTAGCTTTGGTGTTAAATTTTCTGCAGCTGCCATCAAAGTTCAGCTTGGTAACCCAGAAGAACAGATTTTACAGAACTCGAGTTTTCTGTCCCGATTCTGTTTTTTCAGCTCCTGAAAGGTTTGTGAAGCAACAGAAACGAGACCCAAATTCAGATGGAGCACGCAGGGCCCTTTAACCGTGTTAGTACCACTCATACATCTTTTTCATTTCGTCATCTACAATTAACTTGTAAAAACATTCATTTCCTTTGTGCGACTTGTGTTTTCCCTGCAGCTTGTTCTGCGGGGCTCCCTCAGGACTCGATGGATAAAGTGACCTGGAGGCAGCCCAGTTCTTTGCCCCCGCTGCCCAGAACCCCCTGGACTCGGTAGTTCCCGTTGGTCAGCCAGAAGGGCAGGTCCATGTAGGGCACGTAGAAGTCTGACTTTGGCAGCGAGTACGAGCCCTGAGGGAAGCAAAACCAGACAAAGTGAACAGAAACTTTATGACCAGAATTATTTATTTATTCAGATTCAGTCTCAAATGTTTCCAATTTAAAAGATAAGCCTCCGTTCTAGAATTGTGCCGCTCAGGGTGTCTGCATCTTGGGAGCAGCTCTGTTACATTCATTCTGAGATGTTGCTTTTGGAAACGTTAGTTACTGTTTTTCTGGATGTAAATCACTTTCTTGGATGATCGTTTCCTCTGGTATCAGATGCTGTGCAGCTGGAAGGATTTTTACTGAAACATTTTTACTTTTGGACATTTGTTATGATGCGTAAAAATAACAACAAGGTGTTTTGTTTACACCCAGGAGCAGCTGAGTAACATCTCAAAAGCTCAAATAATATCTCAGCTACAGTGCCAAATCTCAAATGAGTTGAAAAAGGAGGCTCCGCGGATGCATTCCCGTCTACCTGCCAGCTGTGCTCAGGTGCCTGACCACTGAGATCCTAAAATCTCCTAAGGAGATTCTGAAACTGGCTAGAAACACGGCTCATGACAGCAGAAGGACCAGGATCGTGCCCTGGCATCTGCAGCTCTCAGTCTGTAGCAACAAGGAGCTCGGCGGGCTACTGGGAGGAGTGGCAAGCATTCTGGGAGGAGTTCTGGCTGGCATTCAAGCAGACCTGCAGCCCAGGGGAACTGAGAGGCCAACCAAGTCTGGGTGGATGGATCAAATGGCATCTGTGGCCAATTTATTTGGATCCGCTGTGGGACGGACCTTTACAAGAGAACCTTCCTGCCTACAGCCACAGTATCCATAAGATCTCTTAACAAAATGAGGATTTAATTTCCCTTTGGGATTAATAAAGTATTATTGAATTGAATTGTTTCCACCCTGTTTGATACAAATGTTGTTTAATGAAGTGTGACTTACAGCCTTGAAGGGGCAGTGGCAGGGCAGGCCGCAGGTGTGCAGCGGTTCTGGACAGTCTGGACCCGGCGGGATCACCTGGTTCAGGAGATCGCAAACGTCCCGATAGTGACAGCTGCCAATTTCCTCCACGCAGGGGATCTTCACCCAGATCCTCGCCACCTCCTTCTCCATAGTAACGTTGAGCTGCAGGGATGATGAAGGACGGGTCAGGTGACTACGCCTGAGACCTTCAGCTGTCTGTCAAACTTTTACACCAAGAAGGAAGATCCGTAAACAACTAAACAGATCGTCAAAGTGTTTACCGCAGGTTTACGACCTCAAGCTAAAAAAACCAAGGTGCAATGAAGTGACAAATGCTTTAAAACTCAGTAAAACGTGTCTGAGCTTGAGGAAGCTTTTTATTCTGACCACAGAGTTTGTTTTGACGAGAACCAGGAAGTGAAAAAAAAAAAAAAAAAACACTTCTTCTTCTAAACAAACGGTTGATTATTTCACGAGAGATGCTAATAGCAGCTTCGATTTTCTTCATACGTTTTAAATAAATTAAAGACTGCAGCGCACAGACAACACTGATGCCATTTAACAGGCTGGTCGTTCAGGTTTTCAAATTAATTCTTGTAAAAAAAAGTTTTACTTGTAAAAAGCAAAACATGAACCGCACAGCTGCAAACGCTAAACAACAGCAGAGAAGTAAAAAAAACAACAGGAGCGCAGAAAACGCCATTCAGTGAGAAGAAAAACATGATACCGTTTCCCTCCAAGAACTCGCTGAACTGGTTTTATCTCCGGACCGATGCTACACGTGAGCAGAACATTCCTAAAACCGTGCGATCAGAAAAAGATTGAACACATTCCAGCAGATTCCTTACACCATAGCAGCCATAACTCGGTGTGAAGGAGCTCTAATCAAATCTGTGAGCGCCGATTGTGACAAACATCTGCTGCAGGCGTCACACAGAGTGTCCTCCAGGAGTTGATCCCATCATTAAATTAGTCTGGACATGAACTTTAATTAGAAATAAATACAAACAACTCACAGAAAGCTGGGCCTCGAGAGGGACGGTCGTGGATCCAGACGCCGAGGCCGTGAGCGTTCCCGGGATGGAGATGGGGTCCGGAGACAGAGACAGGCTCATCATCACAGCTGGATCATCAGACTGGCCACAGTTTTTCCAGCTGAAACCCGAAACCTGCAGAGAACAGGACCCAAAACACGTCACATCACCGCGTTTTGCTTCCAAAACCAAGTTAAAGTCCAAGTTAAAAAGCCTCTCAAATTATTTCCTTTAAACTAGTTAAATCTATTTTCTTCTGTTTATAATTTATGTTGCTGTTGAACTACGTCTGCAGATTTTGTGCCATTTCAGCCGTTCACACAACAAAACTTGTCTCGTTCAGGCTGCTGTTGTTACACCATGTTGTTTTACATTATTAGTATTTAGCGTATATCTTAGATCCTATATACCGTTTCTTTTTATACTTTATATTTTTGCTATTGTTGGCTGTAACTGGGACTCTATGTACATAATTTTGTTCCACCTCATGCACCATATGTGGTGAGGATGACGATAAAATTGACTTGAACTTGAAAACATTCAGCTCATTTGGCAGATGGGCCTTGTAACTTTTATACTTTTCAAAATATTTAACTTCATATAAACCCCCACCATACCTGGGATTCCTTCACTTTTCTCAAATGTTATTTTTGTTAAAATCAGCTTCTTTACTTACTTTTTACTTTTTATAACCAAATAAAAGTTGAAAAACAGACTTGACTGAGAATCTTCACCAGTATTTTACTTACTCCTACCTTTTAGCTTCCATTTTGCTACTTTTAGCTCATGTTTTGTAATTTTCAGTTACCATTTACTACTTTAACCTAATGTTTTGTAATCATATTGCTACTTTTACCTACTGGTATGTTAAATTTAGCTTTTAGCTTGTGTTCAGCTCATTTTAGTTTTAACAACTCGGTTTTCAGCTTTTTCAGCAAGCTGAACTCTTGCAGCAAACTCATCAAGTTTACAGGAAGTTCTTATTTGTTTGTTTGTGTGTCAACAATCCTGCAGAGGAGCTGGTTTTGATTTTAGAGACTTTAAATCAATAAAGACTGTTCAAAATGCCCCGGTCCAAAGGTTCTGTTCCTCCTCATCAACACAACAGAACCTGGGTTAGGAGCGACATTTCTGACCACGTTTGCAAAAACAAATTAATAAAAACATTTAGAGTTCCGTGTGTTGTTGACGGTGAAACTCACCTTGGCGTTAGAGACTCTCCTCAGGCTTAAGGAGCTGCAGTCCGCCTGGTTCCGAACCCCGGTCAGAACCACCGAGACCGTCAGAACCAGCTTCAGAAACCCGTCCATCACGTTCACCGTCAACGAGACACAGCCAGCCGGTCAGAACCGTGAAGCCGAGCCGTTAAAAGCAGCCCTGAAAAAAAGAAGAACAGCAGCAACGCTCTATTAACTTCTGGTTCATCGTCACGTGACTTCAGGCGGTCACGTGACGACGCCTCGCTCTGAGTGTTCTTCTTCTCTGAACCTGTAGGTGTCGCTGTAGGACAGAGGATTTTACTGATATAAACCATCTGAAAAGAGGCTGCAGAGCTCAGAGTGAAAGGAAAAGATTTTTAAAGACTTAAAAAGACATTTAACATAAAATCACTGGTTTATTTATTCAGGGTTATGGCTCTGGTGTAATCAGGTTCAGTCTGTGTTCACATTATTTTAGGTTCAAGGTTCTTTATTGTTACTCGCATCACATGTGGTACATGAGGTGGAACGGAATTGTGTACCCAGATTGTGTAACTTTTGGCTATTGTTCAGCTGCTTTTAGTTTTTACCAACTGCTCTATTATTTTTAGCCTTTGGTCACTTTGAACTTTAGCTGACCTTTGCTAAGTTTAGCTTACATCTAACATTTATTGGTACTTTTAGATTTTAGCTAGTCTTTACCTCCTTTTCACTAGCTTTTTGCCACTTTCAGTGTTTTTTTTTTCCTGTTTTTTTGTTGTTGATACTTTTAGCTAGTATTTTGCTACATTTATCCAACATTTAACTGGGCTATCTGGACTTTTAGCAAGCATTTTGCTAAACAGCATTTTATACTTTTGGCTTTTACCTAGCCTTTTGATACTTCTAGAAACTTTAAAAAAAAATTACATTTTAGATAGCTTTTAGCTCCTTTTAGCTTTTTGTTAGCTCTATGCTACTTTTAGCTTGTCTTGTACTATTTTAGCATAGTGTTTTGCTACATTTATCTGGCATTAAGCGAGGCTATTTTTGACTTTTAGCGAGCGCTTTGCTACTTGAGCTTTAAGCCTATGGGCTGAAGCTAATGCCATCAGAAACTAAATTTGAATTGCTGTTCTGAAACTGAATTTAATGGTTTGAAACTGAATTCATTTGCTTTGAAAATTCAGATTTAATTCAACTTCACTTTCAAAATTCAGTTCTGGAAAAAAAGGCTAGCATACATTTAGCTTTTAATCCCTTATGCCATTTTATGTTTTCACTTGTGTTTAGCTCCTTTTAGCCTTTATTCTGCTTCTTTTAGCTTTTTGCGCTCTGCAGCTATTTTCAAGTTATAAATGTTTAAAAACCAAATGCAAAACAATTTTGTGTCACTCAGTTTCGTCTTTTCAACTAAACTGACATTAAATGCAGCGTAACTAACAAAATTTTATTTTGAATTCGTTATTTATTTTCCATCAGAACATGAACGCACCACCGCCGTTCTAAAACTGAAATGAAACGTTTGAGTTCTTCGGTTAAGCGATGAGCTCTGTGCACATGCGCAGACGGTCTGACCCGCTGGATGATGAGAGAGGAGGGTGGGGGCTCGGTTCAGGGGGGCCAGATGATGCTGTCAGGGAGAGGAGGAGGAGGAGAACCCACCGGCAGCAGCTCTTCATCCCTTCATGCGCTCATTGAACAGATGAAAACCCTTCACGTGCTGCAGAAACATCATCTTTCTGTAGATTAATTCAGTTTTTAATGAGATTAGTTTAGAAGACCGGAAGTGGAATTATTTCTCCACTTTTTTTGTTGGAAATGCTTCCCTGCTCTTCATCCGCGCAGATGGAGGGATGTGACGAGGAGGAGAGGGACGCGCACATGGAAACAGAGGTAAACGGGTCAGAAACAGAACCCTGGTGCTTGTCCTGGGTCCAAATCCTGCCAGATTGCTGTCCGAACCGGACCTTTTCCAGCTCATCCCAGCCGCCGGCCGGCCGGCTTCTCCTGGAGGATGGAGACACTCGAACCCCTCCCTGCACGCGCCTCTGCTCGCCATTTTCCCGGAGAAATCAGGCGTTAAATTGACACCAAGTTGAGATTTTAGCCTTTTTATGGAGAGGAATGAGCTAAAAGAAGCTGCTGAGAGCCCCTTTAATGAGCTAATAAACACATAAATAGATCAGGTTTAAATCGATCTGCAAGTGTTCTATTTATAAAATGTGAGAAAGCTGAATGCCTGCTGAGATCAGCTGATGGATAAAATGGTAAATCTGGCAGAACAGCTAAAATGTTATGAACCAAAGCTAAAATTAACAAAACAGCTGACGAAAGCTAGCCAGACTGTTGCTAAAATTATAAAAGAAAACTGTATCCAAAAGCTAAAAGTGTCAATTGTAACAACAACAACAAAAAAAAAAACATAGCTAAAAGCTAAACTTACAAGCTACAAGCTAAAATTAACTAAATAGCTAAAAGCTAAAATTGGCAAAAACGTAACCAGTTGCTAAAAGTAGCTATACAGTAACTAAAAACTATTTAACTAGAATAGCTAAAACTACAAAACAACACATTAACAAAAAGATATAATTAGCTCAATTGTAGCTAACAGCTTAAAGAGACAAAACATAGCTAAATGCTTAAAATGCAAAATCATTGCTAAAAATAACGAGTTGAAAACTAAAGTTACAAAACTAAAGCTACCAGCTAAAAATAACTAAACACTAAATCAAAACTGACATTAAAAAAGCCATTGTTAAATGCTAAAATAGTAAAACTGTAGCCATAAATCAAATTTAGTTAAATTTTATCTGTAGGCTAAAATTCACAAGACAGCAGCTAAATGCTAACATTTGCAATAAAAGCTGAAATGAGCAAAACTGTAGCTTAAATCTAAAATTATCAAAACATTAGTCAAATGTAGCTTAAAGCTAAAATTGGTAGTATGGGCTAAAAGTAGTAGCTAAAAGGAGCATAAGAATATAGATCTTGTTTGCTGAAGATGATTTCAAAGATTTTTCATGTATTTCTATGGATATAAAATTTACAAAAACAAAAATCTTAGCATCTTCTGAATGAGCCGAACGTTTTGATATAAGAGCAACATAAAGTATGCAGAATAGTTAAAATGTCCAGAAAAAACAAACAAACAATCGAATCAGCGGCCACCCAGTAACGATCCCATCAGCTGATCCTGCTGATTTTCGTTAAATGATGAAGAGTAGTTTCCTCTGAGGACGGAGCTGCAGCAACCTTTGGGTCTCTGAGAGCTGGATGAAGCTGCCGCTCTTCATCGGGCTCCTCAGGGAAATCTGAGCTGACAGGATGTGCAAAAGCAGGTAGAGATAGAAAAAAAAACAAAAAAAACTGGGCCAAAAGCTTCCTGGAGAACAGTGTGAACGGGATGTTGATTTTATTTGTTAATACCAGCTCAGTTCTGGTGCAGTTCTGCCCTTCACACCTACATTTACTCCACAAGTTTAAATACATTCATATAAAGCTGAGGGACCATCTCAAGGCCTGTGTCTGTTCGTTTGTCTGTCTGTAAAGGTGAGTTTTACAGAGACTGAGCTACAGTGTAGTTTGGTAGAAGCTGAGCGTTATCGTTAACTCAGAGCCGCAGATTGGCTGCTGGGAGAGCTGAGCTGCAAGGAGAAGCTCTCTTTACTGGTCGTCTGTGGTCCTACACTCATCTGTGGTCAGGAACTCTGGGTAAAGACTGAAAGAACGAGATAACAGATCCTCTGCAGGGACACTCCCTTAGAGAGGGAGTTAGAAGTTCAGTTCTCCCGGAGAGACTTGGAGTAGAGCCACTGCTCCTCCACATCCAGAGGAGCCAGTTGAGATGGTTCTGATTGCCTCCTGGATGCATCCCAAGGGAGGTTTTCTGGGCTTGTCCAACCCCTGGGAAGACCCAGGACAGTCTGGAGGGACTATGCTTTTTTCAGTCAACATTTCTGGTAAATAAGTAGCGCAGACCAGTTGGTCTTCATCGTCCCTCTGGCTGTTCATAAACGAAGATGAAGACTTCCAGACGTTTGCTTCCAGAAATGAAGCAGGCAGACCAAAAAAACAACAAAAACCCCCCCAAAAAAGAGTCAAGGAGCAGAACTCAGCTGAGTTCATGTGGAGCACAACGCATTAAATGTAACGAACATCTCCCTTGTGTCAACTACAAAACATGATAAGTTAGCTTACTTTAGCGTGTGGTTAACTGTCTTAAATTAACTACCGGTACAAAGCTGCTGTGCGTCATCGTTTGTTGTTTAAGCTCGTGAGCGGGCGGTCGCGCACCATTATCATCAGTTTATCACATTATTGAGCTGCAGCACCGCAACCTCCTTTTTTCACACGTCATCCGTTTTGTAATCTCTTGCTGCATTGCTCGAGGGCACAGAGGCGCACCAGGGGTGAGTGGCTTTGGCCGCTCTCGCTGCCTCGGTCCATGCAGACATACCGAAGTGGCCAGAAGGCGTCTGATTCCTGCACTGTGAGCCAGATGAACCTGCCCTCTCAGTCCAGAAGAAGAGGAAGAGGATGGATGGATGGATGGACGGTATGAAGGTCTAACAAGATCAATAATGACCACGTCAATTATAACTAAATGCTCCACAAAACTGTTTCAATACCATGGAAGTGCAGACGGAGTGTTGGCATTAGGTTGTGTAACGTTGTTGCTGGGTCACTGCCACATCACCTTTTTTTACTGTTCAATGATCAATGGCTTCATGAGTTCAGTGTCGGAGCAAAGGCTGAGGATTTGAACCTGCAAACAGCCACAGTCCTCTGACAGCAGTCAGCTGTTTTACACAGACTCACCGTGAACCTAGCGTCTTCTCTGTGGGTGAATTTAATGCAACGTAACGCTGCTCAGACTGCTGCTCTGTGACTGACAGCACATTATAGCTTACAGCAGTGTTTTTCAAAGTGGGGGCTGCGGCCCCCTGGGGGACCGCCAGGGGGGCCTCAGAAAGCTGGAGAGAAGATTTTAAAAAAGCAAAAATATATTTTTTTAAATTAAAATTATTATTTTTTTAAATTACTGTAATAAAATCAAATGTATTTTTTAATAATTATTTTATAATAATACTGTATATTGAAATATTTTTCACCATGCTCATCTTTCTGATTGTCTGCCAGTCAAATGTATTAAACTGCTTTACTCCGCAAGCATAGCAAAGAACTCGTGGCCAGCTAAAATTCAAAGGTTTGAGGAAGAAAACTTTAAGTATGGCTTCACAGTCAAACAGAAAAATGGCCATGATTGCCCAAAATGTGTCGTCTGTCTGGAGACCCTCGCAAAACAAGTGCTTAAAAGCTTTGAAACTTCAGCGCCACTTGAGTGGGAATATAATACAGTGTTTAAAACATGTTAGTTAATAACATCTTTATGCTCAGCAGCTGTAATAATTAATTTAATATAGTGAATAATAGTTAAAACGTTCTAAAAGTTGATGTTTCTTTACATATTTTGTAGCATTGTTTAGTGGGTTTGCGAGGGGGGCCTCGGCCAGAAGCTAATGCTGTTTGGGAACCCCTGGCTTACAGTGACCACAGTGAGTCCAAAAACCACCAGAATGAACAACATATTGTGTTTTGGTAATCCAAACCCAAACAAAATGAACATTTAAAGAGAAGGATCCTGTCCTACAGTTCATTTAAACTTTTAGCTAAACCAAAACCAAGAAACAAAACCCGGCAGTGCAGCCTTTATAATTAACGCCAAGACATCTGGGGTCACGTCAGTTCAGCAGGTCCTGCAGCCTGGCTGTGGACGGGTTGTGTTCAGACTGACAAACTGGTGCCAACGAAAAGGGTCCAGACCACCTTTTAATGTTGGCCTGACTGAAAACGTTTTTATTGCTCACTTATTTAATTAGCAGAATCATATCCAATCTGCACTAAATTTAGTGATAATATCTGAACAATATGTCATAAAACCAAAGGCGGTTGTTAAAAGTGAGATGGGAGTTTTTGATATTTTTGTGTAAATCGTGCCGTTTGCTTCCCCTCTTCTCCAGAAAACAAACTCTTAGACGTCCAGTGCTCAGTGGAGGTTGTTTAAACCCAGAGGGACAGTTTTCTTTTGGTCTGCGCTGTTTTCGCTGCACAGGAGGTCTCTGAATTCTTTACGAGTTCCAATTACCATTTCAAATGAAGCATGCAGGAAGCGGCGCTGCAGAAAGTCCACTCTTTCAGGGGTCCACCGTGCATCTGTCCTGGAAAAATAAAGAGTCTTTCACTTGAGTTCTGCTCCCAGACGTTCAGAGGTGCTGAGCGATCACCATTCATGGGCAGGTTGGACAAAAGCAGGAAATACAAACCAATATGTGTGGCAAACAGAAATTTAACATTAATTTGCACCTTTTTAAATGATAGAAACCAAATTTAACATTTTAAAAAGGAAAATGTTTACAACGGATGATTAATTCACTCCAGTTTCATCTCGTCAAAGTTTTGGACTTTTATTCTTTGTCTTTTTTATAAAACATCTGTCTAGCCAGCAGAAGCAGACTGACTAGGTCTGTTACTGGTTCTGATGGGCTTTCGGTTTTCCAGTAACACAGTACAATAAGGTACACAAAATTTGATCAAGTACTAGGGAACGCCTCAGGAACGAATCAGGAACAAATCAGGAGATAATGGGTAGTTAACCAGTACTTACATGTTAACACACAGCCAAGCCTTATTAGGGGACTACTGGTTTGTTACCACAAGAACAAACCAGTAGGTAATGGTTAGGTAGTGATTAAGTAATGATTGGCTCCTCAGTAAGTACTTGGTATCATGGTATAATAGTCAGGCAATGATTTGGTGCTCAGTAAGTGATAGTCGGACATAGTTAAGATGGCACCAGTACAAGATGATGAAATTGTTAATGTCTTTCATCAAAAGGTTTACAAAAGTGAAAATCCATTAAAATCAGTAATCACCAGGAAACTGGTTTTTGACAATTACGAGCTGTGACCTCACTGGCGCAGGGTTTATTCAGAACCCACATGGAGAATTTCTCCTCTGTTTCTGTGGTAACAAACCAGTAGTCACCTAATAAGGCTTGGCTGTGTGTTCCCCAGTAAGTACTGGTTAACTACCCATTTGCTTCTGATTTATTCTTCGTTGGTTTCCTTGGTAACTAACTACCTATTAGTTCTTGATTAATTCCTCTTCATTTACAAGGTAAGTAACCAGTAGTCCCCTAATAAGGCTTGGCTGTGTCTCCAGTGTGTTCCCCAGTAAGTACTGGTTAACTACTAGGGATGCACAATATTGGATTTTTGGCTGATATCCTATACCAATACCAATATTTTTCTCCCTAGACCCACTTACAGAGACTACGTAGCTTTCTCTGCTGTGGAATTAAAAGACTACATAATTCTGCATGGTCTTTGTCAATTTGGCCTGCTACCAAATGTAGATGCCAAAAGGGGGGCTGAAAATATAACTCTATATAAATATATAATATATTTAAAAAACAGTTCCTTTTATATCTGTGAGTTATTTTGATGGAATGGCCGATGTCCGATATTTAACTTTATCGCCAATATTGGCCGATACCGATACCATGTCGATAATATTGTGCATCCCTATTAACTACCCATTAGTTCCTGATTTATTCCTGAGGCATTCCCTAGTAGTTAATCAAATGTTGTGTACCTTATTGTAAAGTGTTACTGGTTTTCCTACTGAGCTGCGTTTTGAGACGATCAGTGCGGCATTCAGCAGGGAGGGAAACTCAGATGAACGCTTTCTGCTTGGACTGCACTTTATTTAACTGAAATCACATGAAACTGTAAATGAAGACTGTTATTAAACCTGCAAAGTATCATAGGGTGAACCAGATCCATTGCTTAGAGCCTATATATAGTTTGTTAAGTGTCTCTTATTTCTGGGATGTCTGCTGATGGGAAAATTGGCAGATGTCTAAAATAATATTTTCCTCCGTAGAACGATGGATTCCAAATAATTTGGAAAAGTCCTTTGATCCTTCCCAGATTGATGAACAGCAACAGTCACTTCTCTAAGGTCACTGCTGAGGTTTGACCTCCTTCACATTGCATGACGCTCCTGAATGTGGCTGGATCATGACAAGCTCAGAAAGCTTGTGTCAGTGCCGAGGGCAATCGTGTCGCTCCTGCGCACGAAAGCCAGAATCTCACTGCTGGCGACAAACTGTGAACAGCATTCACGAAGAAGTCCCAAAATATCACAAAATGTTTGCTAAGATTCCAAATTTCCTCCCGTGAGTCGCAGGTCTGCACTTTTGTGTTGCGTTAATTTTAAGCCCGTTAAACAAATTAGCTACATTTTCGCACACTTTTGCAAATTATGTCTCGTTGCGGGTGGCACAGTGGTGCAGTTTGTAGAGCAGCCACCTCTCAGCGAGACGCTGGATCAAATCCTGCTGAGGTCCTTAGTGGACTGAGTTTGTGGGTTTTCTCCGGGTACTCTGGTTTCCTCCCACAGACCAAAAACATGCACGTTAGGCTGATTGGTAAATTGTCTCTAGGTGCGAGAGAGAGAGTGACTGGTTGTTTGTCTCGTCTCTATGTGTCCCTGTGATGGACTGGAGACCTGTCCAGTTGTCCCCCCGCCTCTCACACAGTGATAGCTGGATATGAGCACCAATGACCCCCGCGACCTGAAAAGAAAGAAGTGGGTAAAGATGATGGATAGATGTCTTGTCATGGATGTCTAGAACATGTCTCAAATCTGTCTCAATTTAGTTTCTGTGAACCAGAAAGTTTGAGAAACATGAGTCTACTTTACAAGGTTTGACAAAACCAAATGAAACCAATTTATTATTTGATTTACGAGGACAAATACTGATCAAATGAAGACCTGGTTGAGACGTAACAGACACACGTTGTGAGTAAAGGTAGTACCTCACTGGTCTGCGACTAGTTGGCAAACAGGTCATGAAGGAGTTTCCAGAATGTCTTGTGGCGTTCGCAGTGGTTCTTATATTTCTTGTGTGAGTCTTAAGGCAAACCTGTCAGATGGGTTTTGATCGTTAAAATATTAATGGGCAACAAATTTTCTCAAAATAATAAGAGTTGTCATGGGAGTCTCCAACATATCAGTATCTGAATTTTCTGGTGGGAGTGACCATCTCATCTCCAGAGAGCTAAATCTGTATATTTTCTTCTGCTGGAGAGCGTTCCTCTGGCAGAAACCTTCTGAGGCAGTTTGTTCAGGTCCAAAACTGGCACAAATAATAAATGATAAAGCTAAAAAAACTGGTCCAGATATGGCTGTTTTAATTTCTCAAGTGTATTCCAGTAAAGTAAATCATAAATGTGAGGTCAGCTGCCAAGATAGTGAGCCAAGACATAGGACACAAAATAATGTGCAGGGCCAAGAATGCACATGAAAGTTGGCTGTGATTTTCAAAAACTGGCCGTATAAAATGTTGCTGCTCCATTTGTCTCTTGGTAGCAAATACTCAGAGACTGCAGCAGAACATTGTCCTACTTTGAGTTGCTGGCTAGTCTAAACTATAAATGATGATCTAACCTACAAAGCCCTCAACAACCTAGCTCCATCTTATATTACAGATCTTATTGTTCCATATTTTCCTAACAAAGCACTTCGCGCTCAAACTGCAGGCTTACTTGTGGATCCTAGAGTTTCCAAGAATGGGAGGAAGAGCTTTCAGTTATCAGGCTCCTCTCTTGTGGAACCAACTTCCAGTTTCTGTCCATGAGGCTGACACATTGTCCAGATTTAAGACTTTCCTTTTTGATAAATCCTATATTTAGGGTTGGCTTGTTATGCTGCTAGGCCTAGACTAGTGGAGGACAAATTGACCTAATTTCTTAAAATTAATTGTTACAAATGAATAGTCCATCCATCCATTATCTTTACCCGCTTATTCCATTTTGGGTCACAGGGGTCGCTGGTGCCCATGTCCAGCAATCACTGTGCGAGGGGCGGGGTACACCCTGGACGGGTCGCAAGTCCATCACAGGGCCACATAGAGACAAACGAGACAAACAACCATTCACGCTCTCACTCACACCTAGGGACAATTTAGAGTTACCAATCAGCCTAACATGCATGTTTTTGGTCTGTGGGAGGAAACCGGAGCACCCTGAGAAAACCCACGCATGCACGGAGAGAACATGCAAACTCCACCCAGAAAGGCCCCTGGATGAACCAAGGACCTGCTCGCTGAGAGGCAGCAGCTCTACCAGTTGCGCCACCGTGCTGCCCACAAATGAATAGTTTACATTTGAAATTATTTCCATCTTAGCATGTGATTCTCAACCTGCCATTGTGTATCTGTTCCTCCTTCTTGTCATCTCAAACCCAGCCGGTCGAAGCAAATGGACGCTTGTCCTGAGTCTGGTTCTGCTGGAGGTTTCTTCCTCATTAGGGAGTTTTTCCTTTCCACTGTCGCCTTTTATGTTTGCTCAGGATGAGAGTTCTACGGTGGCCCTGAGGCGTAAATGAACAACATTTGAAAAAAATTGAATCATTAAAAAAATTATATAATTTCCATTGTTTCAAATGTAATTCTGTTTTTTTCTAATGTAATTCGTTTACACCTTAGGGCCACCATAGAGTTCTGCAATGGAGTTAAACTCAAAGCAGTCAACTCCTCAGATAAATAATATTAACTTTCTCTTTATGTATAGGAATGTTTCTGTTCAGTGCCCTGAGATGACGTCTGTTGTGACTTGGCGCTATAAAAATGAACTGAAGTGAATTGAATAGTCTCCCTAATCTATGAGAGCCCAGTGAGATACAGGGTTTAGTAGTCACCAAAGATGCTTCTCCTGCTTTTTTGTTCATCTCCAGTGGCATCGTCATGAGTGTCATGTCTGAGCTGGGTGGTTTCCATGACTTCATTGTGGTCATGGCTAGGCATGAGGCTAGAGCGGTCGCTCCTTCAAATTCTAAAGCATCATGATAGCAAACCACCATGGAGTCACTATGAAAGTGTTGCACTCAAAACCATGGTGGACCCAGAACAGGGAGCCCACTGTGTTCTTATAGCTCCCTGAAGACCATCTTCGTTCTGGTAGATGTTTTACGTCCTCTTCATTCTTAAATGAAAGATGCCACGATTTTGTATATTGCGTAGAGTCGTGCACCTCACATTGTTTTCATCTTTTTAAAAACCTGATGATTTGTTTTCACGTACTGCAAAGCTGAAAGCGAGCAGTACTTCCTGTTGACCACATGAACCGGTGTCTCAGGGTGTAACTCTATCTGTCGCTATCGATGACCTGTGTGCTTTGTTCGTTGTGAAACACGATCTAACGGTTTGACCTGTCGTCTGCTCCCACAGTGCAACAGACTGACGGAGGAGAGAGACGAGGCCCAGAGACAGCTCAAACACATCAAGAGAGGTGAGTCCTGCTTTATCCCATCTCCTCAAACTAAACTGACTGAAATCATGTCTCAGTTTCACGTCTGATCCTCTGTTTTCTTATTTTGGGTTACTTGTATTTACTGAGCGGTTTTTGTCTTTTGAAGGTTTTCACTTTTTATATGCTGTGTAGATGATTTACCGGTGCATGTTTTTTCAGGTAAAGCCAATATTTTTGCATTAAAATAGGTTTATATTGTGATTTTTTTTGTTTGTTTGTTTTTGTTTTATGTCTGATGCGTTTGGATTTACACTCACTTCCTGTTTTGGACAATGTCTGACTTTTACGATTCGGCGAGACTGTTGTTGCCACCTGCAGTGGTTTATTTCGAAACTCTTTATAAAGTAGATATAAATAAGAATAAATGAAGTTAAATATGGTTTTGAAAAGTTACAGCACGGTGGTGTTTGCATGACACAATAGTCTGGTTGTTTTTGTTTCGTTCTTTCGTTGCTGAAGTGTTTATGTGGGATTCTGAGGATCATCTCGTCTGAAGGTCCGTCTTCGTTCAGCATCAAGCCATGCTCTCATCCGTCTTCTTTTGGATTAACAGTGTTTGATATTAGAAATTATTAGATATTAGATATTAGAAAAACTTGAGCATCAAGTGGAGTTGATTGACCAAATATTAGCAGCATAGTGCTTGAAATACAAAGGGATGTGATATACTGCAGTCCAAGCAGGCCTTTGTCCATCCATCCATCCATCCATCCATCCATCCATCCATCCATCCATCCATCCATCCATCCATCCATCCATCCATCCATTTCCACAGCCATCTCTTCCAGGAGGACTCCACGGTGTTCTCAGACCAGCCGAGAGACATAGTCTTTCCAGTGTGTCCTAGGTTTCCCCCAGAATCTCCTCCAAGTTGGACATGCCTGGAACATCTCCCTAAGGAGTCATCCTTACCAGTTGCCTGAACCACCTCTCCTGGCTCCTCTGGACGTGGAGGAGCAGGTATTCTTCTCCTGGATAACTGAACTTCTCACCCGATCTCTAAGGGAGAGTTCAGAAACCCTGCTGAGGATTCTCATTTTGACCGCTTGTATCCAACATCTCGTCCTTTCAGTCACTACCCAGAGTTCGTGATTATGGGTAGGAACGTAGGCTGACCAGGAATCAGAGAGCTTCTCCCTCTTCACCACAACAGACCGGCACGGAGTCCGCAATACTGAGGAAGCAGCACCGATCCGTCTGTCGATCTCACACTTCATTCTTCCCTCAGCTGTGAACCAAACCTTTAAGATGGTTATTTTTCTTTTGTGATGTTAATTTTTCTACAGTCATGTATCTCAATGGATTTGGGACCAGAAAAATGAAGAAGCGGGTAAAGATAATGGAAGGATGGATGGATCTCAATATTTCAAGGATTCAAGGTTCTTTCATTCCACCACATGTGGTCACATGTGGAAATTATGTATGCAGGGTCCCGGTTACATCCAACAAAATTATTAAATTTTAAAAGAAAAACAGCAATAAGAGCTCACTATGTCCCCACACAAACAGCAATAATAACAATTCATAACTTACACAAAACAAGACTTGAGGAAGGATGTTGCTTAAAATACACACAAGTTCAACAGCAAAGGACAGTTTCTTTCTGCTAACTTGGATTTATTTTTCTCATATGCATCAATTTTAAGGGTGATAGACTTCACTGTTTAAAAAAAGAAACCTCCTGAAAAGGGTTAAATGTAGATTATTGTCCTGAATGTTTGGATTATTTCACCGTTTCATGCACACAGCTGCAGTGAACCAGACTGAGACGACATCCCCGACAGCTGACACCTTCGATTCCGCCCTCCTCGCCCCTCACACCCTTTCTCCTCACCTCTGTCGGAGTGACATCACCCACACCTTGTGGATGGGTGTGTTTCAGACAGGAGGAGAGGGCGGGGCTTCTTCTGTTTCTATAGCAACAGTCAGGTTTTCTTAGTGCTTCTGTTCGATGGAGTTTATTAAATCCACTCAAACGAGGCCCTGCAGCTCCATCGGTTGTGACTGATCTCAGACGTAGGAGAGCCCTCAGTGTTGTGCTTTAGAAAATATAAAAACCTGAAAATTAAAAAGTATGCGTGCTTAATGAAGGACAGCGCTTAACAAAATGTTCAGTCTGTTTTCCAAACTTTGCACAGCTTCATGTTTTCTTATAAATGAAACTAACTTGGTGCAGGAAATCATCTGTTCGAAGAATATGTTGTTTTTTGCAGAAGATGATTAATTTTCTTAAAAGTAAAACCTTTTTTTTTTTTTTTTACAGAGAATGAGGTCAGTATGTGAGTTTATTAACCCGTCTGTGGTTGACTGAAGCTTTTTAGCTGAAGGTAACCAGAGAACTGGGGAACTGGACTGATCTCCATCTTGAGCTTCATCTGACATCTTCTCCATCTGCACACCTTCCATAAGCTATCATTTAAAATAATTATAGTTTAGTTAAAGATCTGGAGAGTTTCTAATGAGCTTGTCGTCAGATCAAATAACTGACCTCACTGTCTTTTTACTCTCCAGTTTGCAACATATTTCAGATTTATATTCGTATTTAAATCAATTGAAAATATATAAAAAGCGCACACAAAATAAAAAAAATCCAATAAACATTTTATATTTGACCATTCTGTGGAATATTGAGTTAAATGTCAAAGATAATCGTTTGAGCAACCTGGTCACACAGATGGATGTTTGGCACCAAAGATGACAAAACGAAAGGAGCCTTATTGCGTGTCGTCTTCATGCATGTGTTAGGGATAATGCTCAGCTACTACCCAACCATCTTTAGCTCAGTGTTTACTCTTATTAAGGTCTGGTCGAAGGAGCAAAAACATAAAAATGAGTTAAAGTTGGACCTAAACTCCCGTCAGCAGCTGCAGAAGCTGAGCTAACATCATCCGTGCAGTCAGCAGAAACGCTCGTCCTTCTTTTCACTGCGTCACTTGATGCGTTCACTCTCTCGTTCATTCACTCGTTTATTCATTCGCTGCTCCCCCCGACCCTCCCCCCCAGAGGGAACAACAGTCCCCCCTGTCATGTTAATCCCATGAATTATTAAAACCTCCTGACATGAATTATTGAGCAGCAGATGTGAAAGGATGTTTGGAAGGCCGTTCGATCCTATAGAGCTTGAATCTGCTGTTCGAGCCGTTACCCAGTTCTTCACAGAGCCTCTGGTTCAGGTTCTGAGAAGGACCTAACGGCTCGTAGGTTCTTTACAGAACCCAGGGCCGGCCCAAGCCAAAAGCAAACTTAAGCGGCTGTTTAGGGCCCCGGGGTCAATAGGGGCCCCCCTAAATGGAACTGCATTTTTTTAGTAATGATTTTTATATGATTCTATTGAATATTTTATGTTCTTGTTTTGTGATTTGTACATTTGTGGGTTAAACTAAAGTTGAATTAAAGGCCGTATTGCTTTTTTTAAACACGTTTTAGGGAACTGTTCCTGAGAGATCCAATAATTTTGTGTCTTTTTATGATTTTCAGCTGAGTTAACAGAGTCATTACAGTCAAAACAGGATTTCATGATAAAGTTTGATACATCGTTTTAAGAACTAATTATTCAACTTTAAATTTATTTTTTTAAACCATTTTACATGGTTTCAAGTAATTGTTCTGGTTATGTTATTTAAGTATTTCCTTGATTTTTTTTAATTTTTTTATTATTTTATTTAATTTTGTCTGTTTTTGCACAAATCATTTTTATGCATCTATTTGATCTGTTGTTTGTTGTTGATCTTGCACTACAAATTATTTTGAACATTGCTGTTGCAGTTCTTTGGAACCAAAGATAATAAACCAGATGACACTTTTGCTGTAAATTACATTGCATACTGTTTTTTTGTTGTTGTTACTTTTCGTACCACTAGATCGCATGTGTTAAACTCAAGGCCCGTGGGTCAAATCCAGCCTGCCATAATCATTTCTGTGGCGCCTAGAGGTCCACAGAAACAGAACTTCAAGATAATATTTATCAGTCAAATTATATCAGATTTTATGTTTATAATGTCAAATTACTCAAATATAAAATACTTAATTTTTAGAACTAGTCATTGAATTCAGAGAAAGTTATATTTTACCAGTTTGTTAGTTTTATCAATACATTCTGCCATGTCCGGCCTTTTGAGGACATTTGTGAGCTTGATGTGGCCCAAACCAAACCAAATTTCTCTTAGGGCCCGGTGGAGGCTTGGGCCGGCACTGACAGAACCCCTTACTGACGCTTCAGGGGCTCTACCTGCCGTTAGCGCTCTTTCACTTCAAGGGTTCTTTTTAAAATTTTTAGTTTAAATCATTATTACCTGTTGCAGGCTTGTTTAAAAACAAAGATCTTCATATGAAGTCTCACTCTGTTTTATTTGAGATGTAAATTTGCAGCAAAGATGTGAACTAACAAGTTATCCAACATGAGCCTGATCAACCGCCGAGGGTTTAAATGGGTTCTGCTTGGCCCAAAAGCATTAAAATTTGCATGAGGCATAAAATTAAAATTCAGGCTCTTCCTCTGACCTCATTTTCTCCACAAACCTGCAGTTTCTGTTTATTTAAAACTGCAACTTTGGCTTTTCTGATCTTTCTTCTGCCCTTTAATACAACTTTTATTTTAAAAATCACGTGATAGATTTTAGTTTGCTGAATGAAAAAAGTTGATCTGTTTTGGTTTCAGCACATTCTGAAACAAAAGTTCAGTTTGTAGGTTTGTTGCTGTGCTTGAGTTTGTTGTTCTGTGTAGTTTCTTCCTTTTGCTCTTCAGAATGATTTAAAGGAAAAAAGTTTCAGGCAAATACTTTAAAATATACAACAGCGGCCTCTTTGATTACCATGTTTCATTTCAAAACGCAGATTGGTTTGTTTCAAACGAAGAGGAAAAGTTGGTCCTGCAGCTTTAAATGAACTCTGTCGTCATAGTGATTTATAATCAGCCTGCTGCTGCTGTAGCAGCTGCTGCTGCAGAGTCAGCTCACAATAAAACCCATCCTCGCTTCCCG